AGGTAGGAAAGACATTCACGGTAGAAGAGTTCCCTCCATGATCTATTTGTTGTTTGGTTTTGGCGGCAGAACACATCGGCTGAGCTCATCATCAGGTCTGCTTCTCCCATTGGACCAGAGGCTCCCTGAGGGTCTGGGACCTGACTTACAAGGACACAGGACCTGAGTTACACGGACACGCTGGGGTGGGGGGTGGGGGTGCTAAGGACGGGAAGGCGGACAGCTGCCTTCCTCTCTGACTCTCACAGGAGGAATCCACGGGAGGCACTTTGCTCTGAGTCTGGAGGGCGAGACCCTGAGCCCTGGGAAGAACAAGGATCTTCCGGAACCAGACTGGCTGGGCCTGGACATGAAGGTCCAGTGGAGTGGAGGCTTATGGGGCACAGTGAGACAGAGACTCAGGGGCGTGGAGTGAGGGTCCAGAGAGGATCCCTTAGAGAGATCATAGGCCTTTCACACACGCAGCCGATGACCACGTTGGGTGGACTCCTGGTCTGGGAGAGGGCAGCGCCTGAGTTCTTCTGTCAGTAGATCCCCCTAATGCCCTGACCTCCTACCAGAAGGCTCCACCTTCCCCAAATTCTTAAAAAGACTGGAGAGCACAGAGGCACAGGGGGCATGGGACGTGTCTTCCCTTGCTGGGAGCCAGCGAGGCCCTCCACAGCCTGGGCAGCGGTGGAAGGACGAGCTGGACTCCAGCCTCACTGCCAGCTCTCAGGGTGGGCTGCCTTCCTCCTGGCCACACCAGCTGCTCCCGGGGTCTTCGTGGTGGGCTCATCATCAGTTCTGCTTCTCCCACTGGACCACACGCTCCCTGAGGGTGGGAGCAAGCTGTGAGAGCCTCGGGGAATCCATCCCTCTCTGGGCCTCAGGTTGCCCCTGTCCTTGTGAAACAAGGGGTAGAGCTTAAGGGCCCCCTGGCCTTCTCTGACAGCAGAAGCCTGTTTCCTGCATGAACCCAGCCCTGCAACTGCATCAAAGAGCTTTAATTGTGGGATGGAGAAGACAGAACCGTGGGTTGGGGGACATGCCTGATTCTAGGAGCTGCTCCGTGGGCGAGCTCCAACACTCCACGCTGGCCCGTCCAGGGCTGCCCGGGCTCTCCAGGTGGCTCCTGCGAGCTGCTGGTGGGGCGGCAGTTCTCAGAAGTGTGGCTTCAGGCGAGGGGGAGGCACGGGGATGGCATGCTCCCACCTGGACATAGTGCTCAAGGGCGGTCTGGGGTAGGAGGAAGTGTAGACGCTCTCCCTCCAGCCAGTCTTGGGGAGCATCCACTGCTGCTTCAGCCGCTCATAGAGTCCGTAGTTTGTGGGCGGAGCTGCAAGAGAAAGCGCATCTAGGTGACACGGTTTGGAGCAGACTTGTACAGACTGACCATGGAGACACTGGAGGCTTACCCAGGCTGTTGTACCAGGGGCAGAAGCTGGCAGGGCAACCAGAGGGTAGGGCTTCCTACCCGTGGCCCATTTTCTTTTGCCCTCTCTGAAATTATCTTATTTACCTGAGCATCAGCTGTTTGGGTCATTAATGGTGTATTATCTTTCTCCCCACTGGAATGTCACCTCCTCAGGGGCAGAAATCCTCTGTGCTTGTCACCACTGTGTCCCCAGGTGCCACTACAAGATAATGCCAGWGGGGAAATAGTCCCTGCTTGCTGAGAGAATGACCGTGGGGAGGCTCCCTGCCACCTGGCTCCAGGTAAATGCCGCCTGGGCTGCCCAGGTGAGTGTCATTAGGAGAATGTCCCCAGGTTAAAGAAGAGTGAGCATGTGGAGGCCCTGAGTGGATGATAGGACTCTTCCTGCTGCTTTCTTTGAGCCAGAGGCCTGGGTAATCCTCCTACACAAGAGCTGTGCATCTGTGACCCTTTCCAGGCCAACACAGGGCGGGGGGGATTCTGAATTTTGAAAGTACCAAGGAGGGGGAAGTC